TAGATAATAACCTTTACACTCCAGAAGCTTCATAGTAGATATATAAAAAAAATATTGCTGTGCTAACTTTCTATTTGTGGTGACACATTTTTTCTAGGTCTCTATTACTTGTGAAACATTTATTGTTTGTACCTGGCATCATTTTAAACTACACTAGTCCTCCGCTCACTAATCTGTAAACCATTAAATTTAGTGCTGGGTGTTAATATTTTGTGTGGGTTTTAGTGATTGTCACCACAGGTGGAAATTCCAAAAAGTGTTTTTCATGTTATAAAGTGAATTTTGTAAAACTTTCAATCAGGTAAAGTATCAGGTTTTCATGTTGACAAATTTCTATTGTGCTTGTTCTGGATTACGAAATACTTGTATCTAGCGGTAGACGTGTTTTAATTTTGAACTACCCGCTGTCTTCACGAAATGTTGCGCCGACATAAACAGCTGTCTTGTTTTAACATTATTTCAACGCAAACATTATTAACATAGATAAATGAGCAGTGCTAATGTCGAAAATGCGCACTGGAATGACTAATCATTCATCTACTTGACTTTAGTATTAAATTTTTGTTAAAAAATATGTGTTTCTTTCTTGAATTTTGTATAATAGAATTGACAGTAAAGTAAAGCTTATATGTACATACATATGCATATGGAAATCAGATAAGGGGCAAACGGATAAGTGTTGAACCTTTAGTTACTCCTTTCTGATTTTATAAGTGCCTCCCTGTAAGACCCACGGAAATTACTGGTAATTTAATTATATTAATTATCATTAGGACATTATGATTTTAAGTAAAAATGTTCATATTGAGTATATAGTAGTTTCTGATAACAATGGAAAATATTATTGACGAGATTATAAAATTTTTATTTACGAACGTTTGTATGTGTGCGCGTATGTAGTATGTCTGCGGCTCCAATTATGAAAATCTACATTAAGTTGCAAAGTGTAAATGTTATTAGTTACACATACAAATATCTAAGAGTACACATGTAAAAGTATATACATACATATATATGGTGTAGTTGTAAATAACTTGTTGACGAAATACTTATTTGTTTGAGACACAGTCCAAAATACGAAATGCTCGGAAAAAGCAAACTTATATTATTATAAATGTACGCAGAAAACAATGTTACAAATTAAATAGCTTGTCAACGTAGAGTATGCACATCTATGAGTTGTTTGTAAGTTTGTTTAGTTGTCGCCAGTATATTTCATTCGTGTGGCTTTTTTATTGTTGTTGTTACGAAAAAAATAAGTTTTTTGTAATGACCTAAAATAAAAGCGATTTCGAGTTGCGACGCTTACAAGCGATATGTAGATACATACACACACATATGTATGGTATATAAATGTATAAATGTATGTACATATATGTATGTGTATTCCAGTATATAATTAAGCATATTCTGCCCTTCACGCATCGTAAGCAAACTTAAACTTGATTTTACATGGCTTACTTACTTAATATGCATGGTATTTACATACATATACATATACATACAGACATTTGTATTACATATCAGCTTAAGAATTTCTTTAAGTATAAATATTTAATCAATCTTTGAATCTTTATAATTTTCATAACAAACGTGTTTGTAGCATTAAAAATTAACCGGTATGGTCTGTCTGCATATACGCGAACTAGTTACTCAGTTTTTAAGATATCGATCTGGAATTTTGCACAAATTATTTGTTCTTCATGAAACTGTTCATTTGTCGGAATCGCCGATATCAGACAACTATGGCATACAGAAAGCTGCTATACAAACTGAACGCTGCAAATCATTCTTTATTTGACGAGACATCTTCATGAAATTGACCTAGATTGTTGTTCAAGGCAAACAGTGTAGTCTACGAAGAAATTGTTTAGATCGGACTACTATAGCATATAGCTGTCATACAAACTAACCGATCAAAATCAAGTTTTTGTATGAAATCTTTTATATTTGTAAAGGTATTATAGCTTCGGTGTAACCGAGGTTAGGGTTTTCCTGCTTTTGTTTACAATTACTAAGAAATTTTGGCAGTGTAAAGTACAACTCTCCTCCTCCAATTCTTATGAGTCATAACGTAGCGAACGCAATATTTGGTTCATGAATCCTTACTTTTAAACTACACCGAACTGGGTGGTGATATTTACCTATTTCGGTGGAGTAGCTTAAACTTCTGATTAGAGTATTTTCACATAATTTAAAAGACCATGAGGACAGCTTCTCTCTCCACTTAATATTTGTAAAGCAATGGTGTATACCCCTCTACCTCCTCATTTAGCGTCACAAGACCCAGATCAGCTTTCCCAGTTATTGATGAATAAATTATTTTCGGAAAAGGTTTCTATAAAATTTAACAGCTGTCTGTGTCTTTTCGAAAAGATTTTTATTAAATTCAACAGCTGTTTGTTAAAAGCTAAAAACTTCACAACTCGCTTTAAATTTAGACGGAAAGTGCTCAATTTTTGGTTACAATTATATTCAACAAAATAAAGATGTATGTAATAACAAAACAGAAAAATTAGCTTTAAGCTAAACACTCCATGCCCCATATACCGTACGTACTACTTAATAATTTAGACCCATCAATTTTATGGATGTGATATTATAATGTGCGAGCAATAATCTCTCTAACTTTTCTCTGACCTAAAATTAACCATATCTTTGCTGAGTTTATATATCAATTACTAACTATCAAACTTTTCTATTATTTGCAAAAAAATACCATATGTATGTACATATATATTTATTCTACTAAGTATTATAATCTCTACTACTAGACATAATCCCCATATCATTATTTATAAACTCTGAATATTTTCTATAGAATATTCTTCTTTTGACCTATTTACTATGACATGTATGAATTTATGCATATGCATGTATGAATTTATGTATAGATTCATATACATATTTACTTATTTGCTTATTTATTTGATAACACTTCTGCTAGCTGAACTTATTGACGCTCGCCCCACACGAGACTTACTTGTATCAATGATATCGATTTTTACTGTCAATGCATTCGCTAAATATAGGTAATGCGGCTGTCAGAACCAATTGTTAAGTGTTCCAAACAGAAGTAGAAATTTACGTTGAGGAGTTTTATCATTTGAACCATATAATTATGGGAGCGAAAAAATTATAAATTATAGGTATGCATTTGAGTAATTATGAATTGAGAAAGAACTACCCTAGGCTTCGTAGTTGTCAAAATCACCTAGTTCTTCATTTTAAAAATGCATTACTATATACTTATATTTGTATACTCGTATCTTCTTACATTACAATACATTTTATATAGGTCATGTAGATATGTATGTACCATAAGTATGTATATATTCACTTCTCACAAGTGTTAGAACAAAGTTATTATTGGACTGTAGAACTGTTCATACGGCGGACGGGGCGTGTTTTTAACGAAAATTTATAACAAGTTATTATTTTTATTTTGACCAAATAATTTGGGTTTTTGTCATGAGACTATTATTTTCATTGAGTGTCGAATTAAATATTTTTAAAGTATGAGAAAATATATAATATCACAGAATCTGAAAAAAAAATTTGTTGAAAGTTAAGTTTTAAAAAATTATTGGCTTTATAAATATAAAATTTTTTTGTATATTCACTAAAAAATATTTTTTTATTCTTAAGCAGAAATGTGTTTATAGTGTTCCCAACAAAAATTTGCATGAATGACTTCAGTAATTTTATTTCGTTATACCACAAATGCTTATGTATGTGTGGATATTTAATATTATATATGCATATGTTTATCCTTATATATTTTATTTAGCTTTTGTTGTAAAAAAAATTAACACCTTAAACACCGACTTTGACAGAACAAATTACGTAAGCAAAAAGTATATATGAAGGTATATGAGCGTTCATAGGTCGTTATGTACATACATACATATACGTTTTCTATATGTTTTTGCATTTACACGTGCTTGCAAAGCAAACTGCAAAAAACAAAAACTGAATACTGAGGACACACGACATGACCCCGTGAAAACCACTTTTTATTATATATATACATAGATATGTATGTATGTACATAATATAAAATATATAGTACATCCAAAGCAGGTTGGTACATATAACAGAAATATATACAAACAGAGTTTCCCGTGAAAGCTTCAACAATGGATCCTTCTATTAAAATAAGAGGGGACTCTTCTACTTTCCTAAACACTTACACATTTTTTTTTAATTATTTGACTTTTTATGAAAATTATTGTATATAACCAACAATAACATATTTGTACATACATAGATATGTATGTTCTATACGGTCTATACCTTTAACGATTAACTGAAAACTTTATATTATAATGAGAAAACCTTTCAACCCCAAACTGAACCAAAATAAAATGTGTCCAAGAAAAGTAAAAATGTCAAACAAATCTTGCATAAGCTTTCAACGGTTTATTTTGTTGTAATCACAGTTAATTTTACTGTTATATTATATGTTGCATTCAGGAATCTAGTTTAGACAGGCGCAAGCTAGAATAGAGCACACATCACATAATCCTTGAAAGCAATTGCGATATACGACCGCATAAATATCTATAATTTATACACTGCGGCGCTTTGACTCATTTATTATCTTTTCCAAGCTGCTGTGCATAAATCAAATTTACAGTTGTATGTAAATAAGTATTGTATATATGTATGTATGTGTGTATATCTGCAGCCAGTGTGAACAGCACGCAAGTTTGCACAATTGGGGCACTCTTTCAAATCCCTATTTTCAAATGTCCTTCACAACGTCAATGTTATCAGCACGTCACCAATACATGCACTATTACATGCGCTATATAACTGTATATAATATTATATATCTCACGGCGCACGGTATACTATGGCACATAGACCTGCATATATTGTTTCCTACTTGAAATGAAATTTTAGCTAATTTTTAGCCAACTTCAACAATAAAATCAATTGTAGACCGTGTAAATTTCAAAAGATTATATAAGATTTAGTCCAAACTAGCAACTTACTCGCAGTTAAAGCGTGTGTAGACGTATCCTTTGATGTATACTGCGGCTCCTGTGGCTCCAATTTATTTTAGTAATATTTATATATTAATTACCGTTATTTCATGCGTTGTTATAATAACAAATAATTGATTATTTTTCTTATTTTCACCAACCTGCCACATTTATTTACCTGCAACCATTAAGCACTCAATGCAAAATTTACAATTACAATAAAAACACACGACAGACAACCAGAGAAATTTTGAAGGCGATTTTCGTAGCACTAACAAACAACCATCACAAACTGCGACAGCTGACTGAATGAAATGATGGCGATAACATAAGCCCCACGAATTTGCACCCGTTTGCGGTGGCTCTCAGCGCAGCACACGAGCAACGTGAGCAACGTTGTTGCTGCAACCAAAAGGCCAACAACAACTGGGCATTGCGCTAAGAAAGGCAATTGTGGTGTCAGCAATAAAACTTTGGTGTATATACATATGTATGTATGTGGCTATGTATGTGTGTGTCTCAACAAATCTGATACTTTCTGGTTCTAAGTTCTAGCACTCATTCAAAAGTCTAGGGCAGTAGTTGCAACGGCAAAAGCATCACTAAAAAGCACACAAATATATGTATGTTCCGTAAGTGAGCCTTAGCAGCAGCAGCAGCAACATTGACTATTTGCCCTCATTCACCTCCAAGGTAGACTACGAATTTTGAGCTCTCTCTTTTTTCTGCTGTTTGTTGTTAGTTTTCCTCTCAGTATTTAGCTGTAGTTATAGTTTTATGCTCTGCGTCATTGGAGCTCTTAGCAGCTGTGAACTCTCTGTTGACATTCGTATTATATTGCCCAATCGTCCCACTCAATCATAAGCTCGTACATACGTAAAGGTATATGCACATATATACTATATACTTATATTTGTATAAGATTTGGTACATGCATTTACTCGTACTCGTATCCACTTATAAGTAGCTTTCATTCATTAGGGTTTGAAGATAACTGCATTTTACCGTGGGTAGTAGAAGAGATGCATAAATGTACATAAATACAAATGTATGTATATAGGTACAAGTGTATACATATCTACAAAAATTTCATAGTACATATGTAAGTATGTATATACACGACATATGATAAATTAACCTTCTCGAGAGAGGATTTCTTTTATACAAATTTGGAAATAATCGAGTTGCAAAAGAACACTTAGTATAATTGGGTATACTTTTGAATTTTGAAGCAAAACTCTAGAAAATAAAAATCTCGAGTGAATTCGGAATGAACTGCAGTTAATAAATCAAGAAAAATATGGTATTTGGAAAACATAAAACAGTTCAAATATTCAGAAAAATATAATTTCAAAATTTGTATAGCGAGAAAAAGAAGATTATAATTTCAAAATGTATAGTCATCTCTGTTTTTACGAAAATAATGTAAAAAATTATTATTTACATTAATTTTGAAAGTCCATTAGGAAATTTAATTAATTTCACAAATGTAACCACTATCATATGAAAATAATTATATAGTAAAATAATGCATGATTTAAATGAGAAGCTTTTCTACGTAAGAAATACACTCTCAGAGACATCAGAAGATTTCAGAAACTAAAATTAAAATTTCTACAGTTTTGTATATAACCTCGAATGAAATAAATTGTTGCAGATTTGTAAAATGTTTTGAAAATTATATATATCTTCTATTTTCTTACTAAAACAATGCACAAAGATTTTTTTATGCAAATTTTGTGTTTGTACCAGCACAGAAAAAAAACTTCTCTTACCAGGGTTACCGTAAAAAAAAGTTCTGTAATGAAATTTTAATTGAGTTAAATAAGAAGCTTTTCCACATCAGAAATACACTCGCAGAGCGGTCAGGTGAAGAATATAAAAATTAAGAAAAACCCATCCTATAATTTTTCTATTAATTGCAGGGAAATGGCAATATTGTTTTTAAAAAGAAGCTTAACAAATAACTTTTGTCATGTAGTATAACTACTCATGACGGATATTTGTGCGCAACTGCACAGCATCGGTTGCGAGGACATTAATAAGGGATGTTGTGAGTTTTAAAAGCTGCGCTCCGTAGCTTACATATCACATACATGCATACATAGTAACGGTTTAAGTAAAGATTCCTACACATGAATATATCTTCTTACACACATGGAAGTCTATGTATATGTATAATTCATATTTTGAAGGACAGTCAGCGACCTCGTCCTAAAAAGGAAAAGTGTTCAAAATGAATTTTCGCAACTATACTCGTACGAGTGCGTATAAAATATTGAAAAGTTGCATAATCTTACATAGGCATAGTTGCATAAGGTATAAGTACGAGGACATGTATGAAAAAATAACATACATACATACAGACAGTAATAAGCGCATGAAGAATATTGGTTGTGTAATATTTCGAAGATATTTCCTTTGGCAATTAGTTTGTTAGTATAGTGAAGACTGATTTACGTATAGAAAGGATTTTTATTATATTATTAATACACACATAGAAAGATGTGGCAAGTTTAAGCTTTCTGAACATGCCTGATGTGTTCTTAGTTTAGGGTATCCTTCCAGTTGAACTTAGTTTAATGTAATGCGTACATAAACTTATAAACCTTACATTCTAATATTTTTTTTCTAGGTAGTTTAAATAGTTGATACCGGTTTGAAATTTTTATATAAAAAATGGAAAAAGTATTATAAACTTAAAATGTGTAAAAAATTTTACAGTTTAAAATATATACGGAAAATTGTACCATGAACCATATTGGCTCAGGAGACTATTAATAAAAGATTGCATATCGTGAAATCAGTCAGTCCGGGTTAAATTTGATCACATGGTATTTTCATTAGGATTACTACTGTATCACTAGATTTGTTTGCCTTTTCTTTTCAACTATGAGGCTAATATTGATCAAAACTTATTAAACTTTCCTTATTAGATTAAATCTAGTTAAGCTATTTAACACAAATTAAGAAACATATAAACATATGTTTTCTAACCATTATAATTTATAATTTTTGGAAAATTAACTTTTAGTATTTTTAATGGCACAATGTGTACCTTTACCAGATGATAATAACAACTATAATTATTTGGTATGTACAAGGTGTATTCAAAAGTTATGTATATTAAAATTTTAATTTTTTTGTTGTGTTCATATGTTGTACTATGACAACTATTTCAACTATATGAAGCATTCTTGGTTTCTCTTTCAGCTATTTTATATATTTAAAGAGTAAAACCTTAACTTAAAAATCGAAGCTATAATACCCTTTACAGCTACGTTTCTTATAACATAAAAGCGTATCTATCTCTCAATCTGATTTTGATGGATGAGTTTGTGTGGCGACTATGCGCTAAAGTGGTGCGATTTGAAAAATTTGTTCTGAGCTTTTACCACTCCCTAAGCAATAATCTATGCAAAACTTCATGAATAAATCTTGTAAAATATACGTGTGGCACTCGGAGACTGCCGCGGTAAAGCTATTGCATAGCATTTTTTTATCAACTTATGCAATTCTAATTATTTATTTATTTTTTATGAAGTATTTTTTTTCTTTGTTATTAATTCAAGTTACACTTTTTGAACGTGGTGACCGATAAGAAAACACATTTTTTTCTTTTAATGAATAAATGAGAAGTTAATATTGTTTAAAATATTTTTATTGCCTTACAATACATGTAGGTCATTCAGGAATTTTTGTCTTTGAAACTATATGTTTGTGGTAACTGAAATAAAAATCATATGTAAGTTTGAGACTTGAAATCCACTAAATATCTGGAAAATACCGCGTTAATGGTGGTCCCATATTTTGTTGTGGATTCTTGTGGATCATTATTCATTTTCAAATTCAATTTTTCCGAAAGAAAAGTTGTCAACCGCTTTGATATTTTATCAGGGAAATTGATGTTGAAATCACCAGTCAAGATAAGTGGAAATTTATTACCATTGCTATTCCGATTGAAATACCCAATTTCAATTGTATTGTTCAATTCAAAGGAGATACTGTTCCAAAGGGTGGAGTAGCTATTTAGCAAAATAATAATAATGCTACTAATATTATGACTCCGAATATTGAATAATTTATATTTTAATAATTAAATTTTTATTAAATTCCATATTTTTATTTGCCTTTAAAATATTTTATCTTAAATGTTATTATTTTTAATCACCCTGCTCATCAAATGATTTGTTCCGCTTGAGATATGCGAAAATACGACTAAAAGTATGCAAATATTTTACGCATAATTTGTGATCGTGTTAGGTTTATTTCCGTTACAGAATTTTTTGATTCGGTCGCCGCGCTCAAAGCCCGAAAAACTGAGGTACTAGTTCGCTTATATACGGACGGACAGCAGACATTCTGACGGACATGACTAAATCAACTCAGCTTTTTACACAGATCAATTTTATATACATATGTATTTACCATATAGGATCTCCGACGTTTCCATTTGGCTGTTACAAATACAGTTATATATTATACGAATTATTATTAACACTCTTTGAAAATTTCTGTTTAATTGATTATAATAATTATTTACAACTTGTCAGACCTACGACAATACGCGTAGATAGACACATACCTATATATGTATGTCCATAAATAAAATATGAATGCGTACTTCCTACAAATTGGCCTTAAGATTTTCATCAAATATACTTTATTTATTTACGCTTTAATTAATTGCCGTTTTTAAGAATTAAGCGCCAAAAGCGTTCATAAATTATCAATCTCAACGTACACATAAATCTAAACACTCCCTCTGCTCTTTAAACAAGAACGCAAAGAACCAATGACGCGGCCATCAAGTGACATCATTCCAATTGCAGCACCAACAACCGCGTCCCATCACATCAGCGCCAACAACACCACACATGGTCTCCACACAGCACATAGCGGCCACAACACCACATGACATAGAAAAGCCAACTTTATTGCTCGCACACACACGACACAGTTGCTCAATGCAAAAGTTCCCGAAATCGAGCTGGCGCGTGAGCGTCGTGGCGCACGGACTGTCCCACATTTTGTGTCGTTACAAGCATAAAAATCATAAAACTTATAAAAATGTTTTCGAAAAATTAGTTCTTGTGTACAAATGTGTACTGTTCGCTTGAAAATCATTAAATTTGTTAATTTTTTTAAATTTTTTTTTATTTTTAATTGCTCCATTTAGACTTGGTTGGCGGTTGCACAAAAGTATTTTTGGCCGATTACTCAATGCCCGCCCGTCACTTGCAATCAATATACATGCATACATATGTACTATGTTTTACCTATTAGCGTTTACATACTCATGCAAACATATCTGCACTAAGTGCCTATGTTCATACATACATACATATGCATTTATGTGTGCGAGTTTGTGAGAGTATTTTCAAAAATGACTAATTATCATAATTGTTGATTGCTTTTCCAATGATTTATGCCCAAGTGTCTAGCAATGGGTAGTTTTAATTTTCCATAACACTTTCCAGTCGAGTTTTGAATTCAGTTTTTAGCAGTTTTCTCATTGGCTCTGCGCAGTTGTTGGTGAAGTTCGAGAAATGCGGGACGCGTATAAATTAGCGTCGCGGCAGTCATTAGACCTTCATTACATATTCGTTGCAGACACGGCATGAAATCGTAGTGATTCTATGTAGAATATCAGGTTGCACGTTTAGTTATGTGGAAGTCTGCATGTCTTCCAAACAAGCGCTTTTACCCACGACCTATAGACGGAATTCAACTTTAAGTGAGTACTTGTACATATACATACATATGTATGTATGTACGAAGTTTATATTAAATTTCTTAAGTGGAATTAACGCTATTTGAGATTTTAAAAGTTTCTGAAAAGCTTTAAACACTACCTATCACTGCGCTTAGACTATGATGGCCCTCAGAAAAAAAAACGAGAACTTAGCTTCTCAGTATATAGATATGTATACCCAAGAACAAATTGCTATTGCAAAATAATTAAATAATTTCTTAATATAAATAACTAACAAGCATCTTCATCATCCAAAATGGTGGACAAAAATTATCATATTTAAATATATGAAGTAAGGGGAGGTAGAAACAACCAGGAACTTTCGCCCCATTGTCCAGCTTTTGCAATACTGCCGTTGGGACATCTCGCTAGTCATACTTTCATTAAACCAGGAGAGTTAGCCAAAGTGGTATTTGCAGCCTCCACAAATTTGTGACAAATTCAAAGCGCTTTGACGATTTATTAGGGTTTTTATGATCAATATTTAGGAGTTTTAGGTATCACAACGGACCGGCATTCTAAATTGTCAAAGTGAGCTATCGTGTAGGCTCGACATTTAAACCTAACCTAAATACAGCGAGAAGCTCGATCAAAGTCTGTAAAAAGTTAAGTTAAAAATAGGTAAAATTGCATATTCTCAACATGGACATGTTAATATTAGCAAATTAACAAAAAAAAAAAATACATTTCAGACCAAAGTAACGACTTTAGTAATGTTGGCAGTATTACGAGGGTTCCTGTTAAGTTTAATAATATTAAACTTTAATCAATCCAAAACGTTCTTGATAAAATTTGATGATGTATGTATTTGTAAATTTTGACCGACGTTATCAATTTAGGTTGTTTACTGATATTTAAAGAATAGATTATGGTAAAAAAAAATTACCCAACAAATTGTGCCATCTGTATAATTCTATGACTTTGTTGTCGTTGTAGTTACGTTGTGGAAAGATAAAAAAGCCACTGAGCATCGTACTACGTTACAAATTTTCTCGTGAACTCCATATTACAAAAAAAGATGTATAAATCTTCCAATTGCTAAAAAACACAAAACAAATCATATATTTTGCTGCAACAAAAGTTCGCTCCAAAACCAGATCAACCTTAATGAACTGTAAAACTTTCATAATAATTGAGATCAAAGTTTTCCTCTCCTTTCTTTTATGACGTCACTAATCAGTATCAATATTTTTCTGTAAATTTACGAAGACTAAGCTGTCGTAATCTCTATTTATATCATTCTTATTTCTCTTTGAAATAAATAGATGGAATGTTGGATGGACTAGGCATGTCGCAATTAGAGTAATGAAAAAGTGATCTTACAGAATTATAAGTACAATATATTTTTTCCCACTTTCTGCAATAGCTTTCGACAATGTTTAAGAGTTGTATCGCACAAATTAATAGTGAATTATGAAACATTTATAAGAAAATGTTGAATCATATATTCAAATCATATTTTTATAGTCACAAAAAATTCTGAAAATTTTAAAATAAATTTCCCCAAAAACATATTTCTTTAGAAAATATTAAAATAAATGTAGGCTATTATTTAGAATAATTATATAATCACATATATTTTCTTTTTACATAACTATGTAAGGAAATAGGCAACAAACCTCATATATATATGTATATTATATTGAAACTTAATGTTTATGACGCAAAAATATAGTCATAGCGTGCGAGTGCTTTGCCATGAGAATTATGAGAAACTTCGTGAGAAAGAAAAGCTTATTGTTTCAGTAAGATTTACTTTGGTGACACAAGAAAATCATTAATTCAAGCTTGCACATCCGCAGGTAACTTCACATACTCGTACGTATTGGAATTGCAAAGGAACTTGAATCGCCGCAAAAAGTTAACGAAAAGCATATACCTACATAAGTATAGAAATTACGTAATCGTAGCTTCACTCGTCCACATATTTATTTATACTCCACTGTATCGAGCAATTTAATTGAACTTTTAGTTTGTAAATATGGGATTCCAGTTGAAAATCTTTGCTTATTTTGAAAAGACATTTATATAAATGAAACAAAGCCGGGTTAATTATACTACTTATGTACAACTCATGGCTGGGCCGATTGTGATGTTCTGATCATTTGTTGCATTATCTTCCGCCCCAGATAGCTAAATGACTAATTGATTATATTCTCAATTATTGCTTTTTTAGATATATTTTTAATATTGTAGAAGATATTTGCCAATTCTAATAAGGCATTGATGTACTTATATGTACATTGATATATTTATGCCCTGAACAGGCTATAATGCCACAAAGTTTGTATATATTAGGGTGGAGCGAAAATTTTTATTTTGTTTTTTTGCTTAGCCTGGGGGTAAAGTTTGTAGATTATAAAAAAAGAAAATTTTTGGACCAAAAAAAAATTTTTTTAACATCTAGAGAAAAAAAATTTTTGCTCCACCCTAGTATATATATAAATAATCAGCATGACAAGTCAGTTTAGCTATGTACGTCTGGCTGTCTGTCTGTATATGTATATGTGAACGACCCTCAGTTTATGAGATATCGAACCGAAATTTTGTACACGTCTTTTTCCAACCAAAAAGCTGCTCATTTGCCGGAACTGTCGATATCGGACTATATTTTGTATATAGCTGTCATACAAACTGAAAGATCAAAATGATGTCTTTTTATGGAAAACCTATTTATTTAACAAGATATCTTCACTAGCATGGATTATTGCCCAAAATCCTGTCCCTGTATGGAAGTTTATTATTTAGTATAGCTTCGGTAAGCCGAAATTAACGGTTTTTGGTTGCTTTTAAGCCAGGGGAGGCCTGACCGCTCCAAAGCTTACGGCTCATACTACACACTGTCTCTTCACCTGGTAGTTTATCCGTCGTAGACCTTTAGAAGTATAAACACATTTTAAGAACAATAATGAAATATAGAAATAAGTAATTTCGGAAAAAAATGTACATATGTATATATGCAATATATATGCATGTGTGTTTTTAGACTAACTGTGATTATTTGCCCCGAGCCCTTTGTTAATTTGGATTTTGATTACTTAATTTCTAATTTTGAGTATACTTTTGTGTGCATGTTTAGCTTTTGCTTCACACAATATTTATAGAACTTTTTCTGCCCTTTTAGCTATACGACCCTATGAGTTACATATGCATATTGGTATATACCAAGTAAATAACTATATATGTACATATTTACAAAGTACATTTCAAGGTCGATGTCGTAATAAAAAAATATATCTAAAGAAAACCGAAACGTCTTACGCCTATTCGCATACAAACATACATTTATGTAATGATGAGGAGTGGGCATAATGGGTTCGTAAACGAAAAGATATCAACGAATGCTAAATGAAGCGACAAAGTCACGCAGTCTGCCAGGAAACTCTAGGCTACAGTGGTTGTGAAAAATATTCGCATATCCTATAATGAAAATATGCCAGTTTCTTACGAACAACTAATCCTTGATTTCAGTGATTTAGCTATCCTCGGTCAAAATAACTTTGCATATTTTATATAGAACGTCACTTTGAGTTACATCAGATTATTTGAACTTACAATAGATAACTAACACATTTTAGAAAACATCAAATAATATCACTTATATATAGTATCTCTGAAACTCTTTCAAAAATGAGTGAAATCGATCCATACTTTTTCTTACATCCCGTACAATAATCGTACAGATTTTCAATTGTCTTTCTTCAGAATCGCAAATTATTTGGAATAGTTAGTAGGATATCTTGTTGAAATTATGTATAGAAAGCTTGTACTTGTAATACTTAATATAGAATAATTTGATACCAAAACATTGCCACAATCATATTTATTTTCGGTTTTACATTTTACAAATATTTCAGACGCATCAAAACATATCTCACGAGCCTGAACCAAACCTTACTTATTTTTATTCAATCAAATATTTCCCCCAAATTTTAAATAATTAGTATAATATTTTATATTGCTCCAATAAAAAAAGTAATTATTAATTTATTTGGCAATCCTATTGAAAATTTATTTTGAATAAATATTTTGAAATACCATTCATTTCATGGTGACGCTGTAACGTTTTACGAGTAAATTCTATAAAAGTCAGTTATTGATTTCTTATTTAACATTGATTTGCTTTCCAAATATTCTTCATAACTACGATATTTTAAGAATAAAAAATTTGGTTGAAGCGTAACATTTTACACAATGGGTGTTCCAGCTGGCAATGCGGAGAACGGAAAGAAAATTTTCATGCAAAAATGTTCCCAATGTCATCCAATTGAGAAGGGTGCACGTCATAAGGTTGGACCAAATCTGCATGGTGTAGTTGGAAGAAAGAGTGGTTCATTCGGCGATTATAAATATACGGATGCAAATAAAAGTAAAGGCGTAACTTGGACTGAAGACGCATTATTCGAGTACTTGGAGAATCCCAAGAAATACATACCAGGCACAAAAATGGTATTTGCCGGAATCAAAAAGGCCGAAGAACGAGCTGATGTTATTGCGTTTCTTAAGAGCGCTAAGTAAAATCCATACTTCTTTAATCATATTCTGCTATATTAATTAAATATTATATTATATTTAATAAATTCTAAATTGATATAATTTCATTCTTAAAGAGATATTTGTTGGTAAATTCTAGCGTCGGCTATATAGTTTTCTATACTGGGACTGATCGATCAATTAATCGATCTGTTTGTAAGTCGCTATATCCTATGGTTCCGATATCGGCGAATCCGACAAATGAGCAGATTCTTGGTGGGAATAGGAGATCTGCAAAATTTCAGACCGATATCACAAAAATTGAGAGACTCGCTCGCGTATGTACGGAGAGATTGGCTTGACTAAATCGGCTCAGCTCGTTACACAGATCATTTATATTTATTGTTACCTAACCTTTTTTAAACAAAATACCAAAGGGAGGTTTGAAAAAATGTTGTATATACATAGATTTAACATTTCTTTGTAAAAGCTTAAGCTTGATGCTTAAAAAGTAATTAATAATTTATTTTATTAAACTCCAATACTTTGACAGCATTTGCGCATATAATAACACATACACACCGAGCAATTCTCAAAGCCCTTGCGTAAGAAAGGGATGAACGACCACCCGTGCACAAGATTTCGGTGGTCAATTGGCCCTTAAGAAACTCATAGAAATATCTCTAGTAGCGCTAATGGATAAATAATCGAAGATTTAATTGATAGGTGGCTTGCAGGATGAAGAATCATCATTAACAAGCATATTACAATCTTGCTAGCTTTGAAAGTGTTGTCATGTCCCTGTCTTCTTCTTAACAATATGTTTTCACATTCAATAGCACTGTCAGAACTTAAATATTTTCACAATAGCGAATCACTAAATAGTTCATTCTAATTTTTAGTTTGGTGTTACTTAGATATAAACAGGTGAATTTACATAAATATAATACATATTTATCATTTCAGCACTTCGGAAAAAATTGAGCGTGAAGACATGGGGTAATGAAAATAGTGTTGCTTTGCATATAGTTTTTCGCAAATGTACAGCGTTGCTTTATACCGTAAGCCAGCTGATATTGGCGCGACGAAATTCACATGGAGTGCTAAAATTTAGTCGAGTTGTATTTGTGTTCAATGTAAGTATAGTGGGTAAATTGGTGTATTGAAAAAATTTTCTGGAACCTTTTGCTATTATACATAAACTGCATTATATAAATTTGTGTGTGGGTGTGATTCTATAAATGCTTGTATACTTTTTCTATAGTTTACATTGTTTCAAAGCTAAAGCCAAAATAATTTTCCAATTCGGTTGTTAAATGGATTACATAAGCAAGTATACCAGTGGCAAAGTGCGTAAAATTGTATACATATGCAGGTGATATATATGAATAAGTAGGTGTGTGCGGAGGGGTTTCTTTGCATAGAAAAATTTAGGGGTTGATCTTTGTTATATAAAAAGTGCACATTGATTCGAGTTGCGTGCTGTAATTTTATTTTTTTTTTTAAAGGAAGTCCATGCTGAACGCCATTGATGAGACAAAAATCGTTGTAGAGATCAGAAAGGAAACAGTTATATTACCCTCATTACTTTCATTCATGTATTCATTGAAGGCGTCTTTCACCACGTGGCTTAATTTACTTAAGAAGAGAATTTAATTCGTAACCTGTTTTCATTAACACTGCTTTTACATAATAAAAATGTCACGTGAGTGATGGAAATTTTTCATGGTCATTTTCATGTTACTTAACTTATTGCAAGTGGATCGTGTTCTAAATTTCACACATTAGCTTTCTTTAAGAACATATATTTTAGGTTACATACTTACATATACTTATATATATATGCATATGTATGTATTCGCGTATATATGTAGATAAACATTTAAATTTGAATAGGTGTGAAGGCGTTCACAGCTGCATTGACATAGAAAAAGTTTTGTTTGGTGTACAAAAAATCATTGCATTCAATAATTACACATTTAAATACATAGAGATTGGTTCAAAATTGCGAGAGGTAAAGAATTTTGTAAGAAAGTTAAAATGTGGAGTGTTTTAACTTATATAACGGTTTTATTCATTTCATAGCATACGTAACCCTAAGTTGAGGTCAACGTTTGTTTTTTGTTCTACTGAACCCAAGGTGGTTGCATAACAAATTCCCATGATCAAATAACGCTTTTTCAAGTGCAGATATTTTCACGCATATACCAAGGGTATCTGTCAGTTAGGTTTGCATGTGTGTACGAAAATATTTTTTATTTAATCTTGTTGACATTTTTAATAGCAATTATAAAATGCTAGCATGTTATAGACGACCTAGAACTTGCATTTGCTGGAAGTAAATTTTACACGAAGAGCATGAGACAAAACAAGTATAATGACGTGCACTGCAGTCGGGTTGTTTACGTAGAATTGAGTCAGCTTTTGAAATGGCTGTGGCCAAGCAGGGTACAAAGTTTTACACAAAACTCTAAATGATTTCATGTATAGTGAATACAAATAAAGGGTACATGCTGTTGCTGTGTGCTGATTCGTTACTCATCAGACAGTGGTCATTGTGATATAAGTATGTACATGAATTTATTCGCTAGAACTGATTTATATAACATCACTTTGATAAGCTCTTTCTCATGAACATATTTGCTTTTGTTGGTGTTATCAATGGAGATTTCTGGTGATTGGTCTGGTATTATTGTACAGAGTTAACTGAGAAAAAGTGGTAACAAGTGTTATTGCATGTATTATTTGGGTTTAAAATATGCATTTGTTATGCAAAAAAAATTTATATATTTTTAATATTTTAATAAACACAATTTAATATTAATCCATTATTTTTTTTTATTTTCAGAGTGAGTACCTATTAACATTCATTAAAAACTACAAATATGGGCGTACCAGCTGGTGATGTTGAAAAGGGCAAGAAACTCTTTGTCCAACGTTGTGCTCAATGCCACACTGTTGAGGCTGGTGGCAAGCACAAGGTCGGCCCAAACTTGCACGGTCTGATCGGCCGCAAGACTGGCCAGGCTGCCGGTTTCTCCTACACAGATGCCAACAAGGCGAAAGGCATTACCTGGAATGAGGATACCCTTTTCGAATACTTGGAAAATCCCAAGAAGTACATCCCTGGTACAAAGATGATCTTCGCTGGTCTGAAAAAGCCCAATGAGCGTGCTGATCTGATTGCTTACCTGAAATCGGCCACCAAGTAAATTTCAGTCACAACACCATTAAACCTTGTAAAAGAAGCTATCATAAAGTAAACCACCTCATCGATGTACTAGCTCTGGATAATTAAAGATATAAACTGTAAAAATAACAACTTGGGTTTGACCGATGATGTTTTGAATTGCAGGCGTGCGTAGCTTATGAAGACAATTTGTACAAAATAGCACACAAGCAAAGAGAGCACCATCATCCGTTTAAGAGCAAAGATACACTTTAGTTTTAAATTTAACTATTCTAAATAGGACAATTTAATTATTTAATTTTATTGTGTAAAATAAATATTACCAATTTTTTAGTTGGTTTTGACTTCAAAATGCTGAAGAAAATGTAATGATTCAAATTTGACAAAACCAATAACAATAAACCAATAAAAAACTGAAAAAATTAAAATATTATTTAATAAGGAACTTGTACATTATGGGTTTTAGAACATTTGGCGCTGATGAAATAACAATTTTTGTGGCGATTTGCATAAAACCGGTCGCTTCTATAATGGATTTTATTTGTGGAGATAAGTAGTTTTGATAACGACTTCTAAGTATACCATGAAAGTACATGTAAGGGAAAATGTGTTTTCGGTTGCAAACGATTTTAAAATCAAAAGCGGTTAAGGTGGCAACAGAGAAGGGAGCATTAAATAACGCTCCAAACTGAAAATAGTGAGAATTTAATATTTTAAACTGAGATTAGTGTGAAATTAGTCAAAACATAGTGGGAACTTTGGTGATATAATTTACTTCGGCCAAGCCAAGAAGTCTCAGTATACATTAAACTTTATGAGTATTAAATAGACTTGTAGATTTGCGCCTTCACAATGATTCTTCAATTTCCAACTGACTAGATGATGAAATCTCGTTAGGCACGTCTTTTTGACCTTATGCACTTAAAGGATTAATGCAGTTGTTCGGCTAAAGTAATTGTTCACGTATTCGGGTGCAAAAAAGTCTGATCCTCTAATTGAATTTTCACCAATTTATATATTTTTTTATATAAGTAGAAGCTACTCGCCAGTCAAAGCTTCGGGATTAGTTATAGATTAATAGTTTATAATTAATCCATAGATTTTCATTTTTAACTAAAATGTTTGATATCACAAATAAATTTAAAGCAAAACATGAAAAAGCTTTAACTTCAATTGCACAGAAGCTATAATACCCTTCACAAATAAGAAAGTCTCCATATAAGAAATTGAGCTTGATCGGCCAGTTTATATGACAGCTACATACAATTTGTTCAGAGATTTTAACGTTGCTTTGGACAGTAACACGTGCCAAATTTCATTGAGATATCTGATCGAATAAGAGAAAATTCGATACTTAAACCTGATTTTGATCGTTCAGTTAGTATGACAGCTATATATTATAGTACTTCGATCTGCAAAATTTGTTCGGAAATGGTAGATTTGCCTTGGACAATTGCCGAATTTCATTAAGATATATTGTCAAATCAAAAGTTTTTCATGCAAGGACATGATTTTGATCGCTAAGTTTGTATGACAGCTATATGCTAAATGGTCCGATATCGACGATTTCGGCAACGAGCAGCTTCGAAATCTAAAACTGAGGGGCTAGTTGGCGTACAGGGACGGACAGGGCTAAATCGACTCAGCCCCAAATCATTCATATACGAGTATATACTATGTAGAGTGTCCGAATTCCTTCTGGGTGTTGTATACTTCGTAGTAAACTTAATATACCCTGTTCTGGGTATAAAAATTGATTCAATTAGGAATTTGAAAATTTTTTCGGCTGCCATTAGCTGGTTGATACAAATTTTAACGATGTAATGAAAGAAGACAAAACCGCTTTGGAACCGTCTGATTTTAAAATAAGTATATACTTACATTATACGTTACAAATATATATAAGGCAAATGTTTGTTTTACTATATAATATATTTATTTAAATATTTATTGAAACTTCTTCGTATATCAGCAGATATTAGCAACGAAGCAATTAAAGTGATCGTAAAATTTGCATAAATCACAAAAAATACTAATTCAATACTTCTGTAACAACATATAAACAATATTTAGAATATTATGTACGCACGAATTTGACAAGCTTTATAAATAATAGATCTAAGACCAAGGCATTTCAACAATAACAAAAACAAAAACGTGTACAGAATAGTAAGCAAAATAAAATGGAATGATGAACAAAACTAAATGTTTAATACAATTTTGCACTTTAAGTTGCAGTATTTTACATGTGCAATTTTTGCTGTTGCTTTTATACTTTAATTCCGTAAGATTTAATATTTTTTATTTATTTATTGTGAATAACGAGAAATCATTCCGTTTTTGTTTTATTGTTCTATAAGGGATTTAGTACATTTAACATTTACTTTATCGACTACACAAGTCGATTGCATATTTTTGACAAGCAAACGCATTTTAGTTTATTTATTTAGGCTTTACCGCTGATTGGCGCTGAACCGCCTTTCTGAGGTTGATTCTCATTTTCCTTTTCCAATTGCTTGCCCAGGTATTCCCTATAGAAATTAATTTATTGAATGATATTTTTAATACAAATTAATTGAGAATTCAATAAACATAATTTTACAGTACGAATGAAAAATTGTGCTTGACTCATTCATGGCTGAATTATTTTGATTGTTAAAATGGTTTCAATGCCGTTCTTGGATTTCTTTAAAATTAATGCATGAATTAAATGTAAATTTGAATTTAAAATTAAAGCATGAATTAAAATACAAATTTCGATTATATGTAATTCTCCAACTAAACTTACCAATTGTGCACCATCAATTTTTGTACCGCTAAAAGAGCCTCGTAACGCACATTTGGATCGTCGTGAGCCAGCAGTTGCATAACAATTTGTTTGCCGCCTAATTGCTCTAAAACACTGCAAAAAAAATAAAAATAAAAAATAAATTCGGTTATCATTCTATAGTTGCTGCCCAAGCCGAGCCTTACTGTTTGCCTCTGGGATAATGGCGCACGTATTCACCAATATCGAAACAAGCTACAGACAATATAATATGATCCTTCGAAGTTTCTAATAAATGCACCAGTATACGCAAAAGCTCATAATTCTTCTCATTCAAACGATGAGCATTTTCACGCCAAAATTTAGCCGATTTATGTACGGGCGACCATTCGAGACGTGCGCTACGTAATTCAGTGGCATATTCATCGAAGGAGCTCAAATCCTGTACAGAGCTCTGTAGCTTCTCGGTGAGAAATTCCACATCAGCAGAGATGTCCTCATCATCGAAGCGACGTTGCTCCAAAATGGACAACTGTTTCAGAACCTTGCACTGAACCATAGCAATGCAATGCTCCTTCGCCACTTGTGGATCGGTTGGCTTTTCGATCAAATTGCGAAATACGGCTAAAATAATGCGAGTCACCTATAAAAAATATTAAGTTACATTGAAAAAAATTCAATATTTGATGGAAATAACGATTATACCTTTTCCTTGGCACAATCACTGAGGATATCTGCTAAAATCGGTATAACACTGAACTTGTTCATTTTTGTGGCCAAAAGTGGGTTGAAGGTGAGCACCCATAAACAGAACACCAATTGGTATTGCACCTTAAATGAAAGTAAAACCATTTGTCTTTTATTTATAAAACTTATAATTTGTTAGTAATAACTTACCTGGAAGTTAACGCGAGACGATAGAATGCTAATCAATGTGCTAATGCCATCCACCGAAACGAAAGCGAAACGATACTCGTCAATACGAAGCATCATTTGAAGACACCGAGCAACAGATTGGACATACTCATTGGCCTATATGAAAAATGTTCGTTGGATAAAAAGATATATAAGATTACTTAACAACTTGTGAGCATCAGCATTAGTGCAATAAATCAATTAGTTTGATTAGTTAAATTCGGAATTTCTATAAAATTTACTTGAATCTAATTCTACTTATATAATGTTTTCTAGAAGACAACCGAATAGTAAAATCTAAGCTAAAGAACTAGGTGCAAACAGCTTTTTGTGTGCAATACCTTTTTTTAAGAAATATTTTAACAAATCATAAAACTCTGACCATCATTACATTTACCACAGCGATTGTACAACCAGATGTTCCATATTTATTATAAAATTTTAAACATTTAAAAAAATATTAAATGCTTTAGATAATGAAAAAGTGTGTATTTTAGAAAGTCACAAAAATATTGAGAACAATAACATATTCATATATACCACATACATCAACTAGTGGAACATAAATTAAAACTACCATAATACATATATGTATTATAATAAAACAAGAAAAACGTTAACTTCGGTTAGAAGAAGAAGCTATAATACCCTTCACAAATAAAAAGTTTCCATATAAGAGCTCGATTTTGATCGGTCAGATTGTATGGTAGGTATATATGTATGTATATGCTATAGTGGTTCGATCTAAACAGTTTTTTCCGAGATTGTACCGTTGCTTTAAACAAATTCCATGCCAAATTTCGTGAAAATATCTCGTAAAAATAAGTTTTCCATACAAGGACTTGATACCGATCGTTCAGTTTGTATGGCAACTATATGCTATAGTTGTTCGATATCAGCAGTTTCAAGAAATGAGTAGCTTTTTGAAGAGAAAGTCACATGTGCAAAGTTTATTTATCGATATCTCAATAATTGAGGGACTAGATTACGTGTATACAGACAGACGGACATGGCTAAGTCGACTCAGCTCGTCTTGCTGATCATTTATATATTTATTTTATAGGGTGTTACAAACTTCGTGGTAAACTTAATATTACAGTACTGACTTCTGGGTATAATGTGTAACTTAAGAAAGATAGTCTAGAAAATTTTTTTTGTTTTATATTATACAAGTATATAAGATGTGTAGGTGAACTATAAGTATTTTTCAAAATTTTGTAACTACTTGTGTATTTTATTTTTTGGAGTACATATAATAATATAATATTTTTCCTGTTTTTAGTAAGTATTTAGAACTATTTTAATAGCTATTTGAATACATCACACAAAGTAAGTTTTTACGAATATAGATCTTTTACTCTTCTGTGTATACTTTTAATAAAATGTATGACAAAAAAATTGTCTAGAAACTTTTAAAATTAAAGTTTCTATAGAAAAATATTAAAATATTTTGTAAGTTACTTAATTTAAAACTATAAAATATGCCTACTGTAAAAAAATTGTAAAGATATGCCAAAGATCGCAACTCAGACACACATATTGTTTCAACTACACACATAAACTAAGCTCATCAAAATTTCTTTTAAAATAACTTATAAATTTAGCGCTACATAAGTATAATACAAACATACCTTTTTACTTTTACATAGCATTAAGCTAAAAACCTTTACACTCAGAATTTCACAGAAATATTAGTATTGTTAGCATAACGTTATTTTTACAATCAATATAAGCGGCTAAAAATCATATTTTTGAACTACATTCTTTTACTACATAAAAAATTCACAAATTAATTGTTTTTACACTAAACTAGCGCTAGACACTATTGGCATTTGTCAAATTATATGAAAATATATTATTTATTGAGTACAACAATTAAAGACTGGAATATAGCAGTGATTTAACAACTGGCTTGTTATTAAATTATAGCAATTTGTTTGCCAAAACACTTAGAAAAGAATATGCAAGTGATCTTTCAATTATCACAATTACTAAATGCCTAAATATAATAGAAATGCAGTTTTTTTTTGCGGGTGAAATTTTTAAGAGAGAGAGAATTCACTCTACCGGAATGGGTACCCTGCCATCGACGAGAGCATTTTGTTGCTCCACTGTCATCTCACGGTATCTCTCGCCTGTCATTTGTTGCTGTGATTGTTGTTGTTGCGCCACATTCGGACTGTAATGATTATTATTCTTAGAAGATTGCTGGTCTTTACCATGCCCATGTCCGTGATGATGTACCACAATCGTCTGCACACGTCTAGCTAGTGTGGCCTGCTCTTTTATATATGCCTTGGCCTAAGGGTTGCGCATGGCGTGTCGATTACATAAGTGCCAATTTGGTTTGTTTGGTTATTTCAATGTGATTAGTGCACTCAGTTTTGTTGTTGTTCGGTAGTATCAATGACGGTAGAATGTGGTGTAAACAGTGTAAATTGGTACACATTTTTATGTTTGTAGTTTGAAAAAAATTCACATTAGAAATTGAAATTGAATTTACATTTAAAACATAATGTTATTAACAACGAAGTGACCTCCATGGCGATATTGTGGTTGGTGGAACGTGTGGTGGTATAGATGTGACATTTTCCAAGCCTCAAAGCTGGGCTCGTCATATTAGTGGTGCAAATATTTGATAGTGCTTTTTTTTTTTTGAATGGCCTCGATAATGTTTAAATGGTTTTTGATGACTTTTTCAGTTTTAATAATTTTTTATTTTTATTTTTTTGTCTCAACTTAGCACTCAACAAAATGTTAGTAAACGAACATAAACACTCCCAAATTAAATAACAAATTATAAATGTGTATTTATATCCAATTAACAAAATATAAACATGCTAAGTTATCGGAAAACTAGTGTACCTATGTATATACGGACATAAACATATGTATTTGTGGGTTTTTGTGAATTGTTTTGCATTGTTAAAGTGTGATAAAAGTATTTTTCCTAAAATAAAGCCGAACCTCAAGTCAACTGCAATTTTTTTATACAACAAACAACACAAATAAAAAAGTATGGCAGCTATATGTTATAGTGGTCCGATATGAACTTTTCTTTCTGAGATTGTATTGTTGGCTTCACCAATAATCTATGCCAAATTTGGTGAAGATATTTGATACATTATATATATAATATATATTATATATATTTGAGATATTAAAGAACACGATAACGATCCCTCAGTTTGTAAGGCAGCTATACGCTGAAGAGGTCCGATATCGGCAAAAGAACAGACGGACAGACAGATCATTTATATGTGTATTTAATAGGGTTTCCTTCTGGGTGTTACAAAGTTCATTGCAAACATAATATAACCTATTCAGGTTATAACAATGGGAACAAACTGAAGAGCCAACTTTATTTCTACAAATTCCTTTTGTATATGTATCTATGTTTTGGATACCAGGAATATATGAATGTATGTAAATACATACGTATCGAAGAAGTTTTAATTTTTGCAGCTAATAGTTAAGATAATGGTTAAGAAAATTGGAATTAACTAAATTGATTAATTTGTTTAATTATTGAGGCATGCTCAAATAAGCCCAAAAAATTATGACACCTATACCTAAAAAAAAAAATAGAGCACTATTTGAATATAACTCATACGTTTTTCCACGTTTATTTTCACTCATAAACAAATATTAATTTTTTAATCAGACAACCATTCAATATTCGTTCAAATACTCTACTTTAATCATCCCAGAAGAAATAATAAATAATTAAATTATAAAAGCACAAATCATCATTATACGAAACGAACATGTATAACTCATTCCAATATGTTTTCAACAGTCAATATACACGTAAAATTTAAACTATTGAATCACTTATATTTTTTTAATAGTTTCATCGAAATTTAAATTCACAGATAAAACGACCAGCATCGATTTTTCTAAATATTTGTAATTAACTATTTTTCAAATCTAATAAATCACGTTTAGTTTTCTAGAAAAGCAATCCGATAAACTATATTCATATAAACATCAACATAGCAATGGTAAATTTACTTGCAAAAATCTACCATAAAATATTTCACTTCGCATGCAAAAAAAATTATTTAACATAAAAACATGCATGCCGCGACCAATGATTGTACATGAAAAACTATATAAATTAATGCATTCAATAAAATATTACAATACTTAAAGATACATAACTACATGAAGTGGCTTAGGGCCTATATATCTATGATGTATTGTACACATACATACATATGCTTATACACAGATTACTTACGTTCACGGTCAGCTGATCCTTCAAAAATTGCAAATAAAAGTTAAGGTCTGATTTGGGCATAAGTTCGCGACCCCAACAAGCTAGTTTAGCTAGAATTCGTGATGACATGTTTACAATGAAACCATCTTGACGATTTAATAAGTTAAGAAAAGGTCCCCAGACACACTCTTTATGTTGCTTAGCGTAGTCGTGGAAAAAGTCAACACGTGAACGTTCTTCTTGCAACAAATCATCGATCAGCACAAGTATATACTGTATTGTCTGATCTTTTGAGACATGGGCTAGCAAATTTAACAAGGTTTTCACTGCTTGAGTGGAGTTTTTCTGCAGATAGGCCGCCTTGGCAGTGTCTAGTGCACTGATTGCGTTATAGTCTTCTTGTGATATCATCTGCGACTGCATATACGATGCCCAATTAATGGTCTTGGTACGTATGTCAGCTGCTTGTTGCTGCAGCACTGAAGTGGCAGCAATCATATCTGTAAATATATTTTAATTAAAATGTGGCACAATTTAGACAAATTCATACAGAGGGCTTGTGGCAACAGTTTTTTTCTGTTGCAAACTTACCGATGTTATCATCGGGCAAATTTATTAATTCTTTGACGTCTGCCATTTTTTGCTAACTTAATGAAATTAAATTGAGCACTTATAATGCAATATTAGACGAGTTTTCACAATGTTTTTGCCAACAATTTCACTTAATTTGCACTTTTCGCTATTGCGATGAACCAATTCAGCTGACAAAAGTCACAAGACCCAGAAAACAGAGTTGTAGCAAATTGGTACTGTGATGGATCATTGACAGCTGACTTTTGTTTTTGAAGTCCTCAACTATTCCTCAAAATTTAGACATCTATAAAGTGATGTATTTTTATATTGAAATTTCTTTGTTCATCTGTATTGAGAATAATTATGTCGGCGTTATTTTTTATCTGCATTATAAGAAATTTCATTAAAAAAATTGCGTGGAACAGTTAATAAATAACTATAAATTATAATTGAAGTGTTTTCAAAACTATCTTTCTGATTTTTTAATACTACCAGAACACTCTGTGCCTCTTTACTAAATTTTGACAACCAGCTGATTGTCAACCTATTTGAAATTAAAAAAAAAATAGTGAATAAACAATAATAAAGTATATAATGATAAAGTCGAAGATGCCTTTTTAACCAATTCTATACATTTCGTTTAATTGTCAGAACTGTTAATATTGATAATGTTATTTACTCCATTAATTAAGCAAAAGAAAGGTGCTAGCAAAAGCTCATTGCAACCGCCTTTTCCTGACGGCTCTCCGGTAATTGGAGTGTTCACCGGTATTTCGGTTGAGGTGTGCGCTGCTGAAGATATTAGAAAAGTATACGAAAATGGATTTTTTGGGAAAGGTAGTAAATCAAGGGGAGCGCCAAAATTAGTAACGAAGGGTACTATCGATGATACCGAGAGTCTATCACTAGAATTGGAAGAGTCTGCATTTCTCGCTTATTTTGTCGGTGTCTTATGTATTCACGATATCCAATGTAACGAAATGCAATATAGAGAATTTTTCGAAGCTGCGAGAAACGTTAATCCGAATTTTCTAGAATGTTTCGGTTCCTATCTATATCTTAAGTCAAAAGGATGGATTATAAAAAGTGGTATTAAATTCGGCGGCAACTTTTGTAAGTACGTAAATCATTTTAATCATCTTAAGCTTATTTTATTTCTCTTGTAGTGATTTACAAAAAAGGGCCGCGTTTTAACCATGCTAGTTTCATTATTTTTGTGCATCCTAAATCCGATACGAAAGATATCTCAATCAAAGATCTCAAAGGACTTCAGCGGATTGCCGAAACTTCAGATAAGGATGTTTTGTTGCTGGATGTAATGAAACCGAATGATTTAACTTATAATACTCTTTCCGATATTGCTGCACTTAAAATATCAGAAACAATAGTTCGACGATTTAACAGCACTTCATTTGTACAAAGCCAAAAGATAACAAAATGAATTATATTGAACAATGAAAATTACATCTTTTGCACACGATGTTTTTTTGGAATGCCAGTACGCCGGTAATCCGATCGCTCTTCCAGATAGATTTTCGTGCATTCTTCTCTAAAGTCATCATTTTTATACCATTTGGTCAAACAGGACTTAAGAGCGGAATTTTCATTTCGGCATGTTACAACCATTAATATACTATTTGCCTTACAACACGCTTCAAATTCTTGTACTTCTTTACTGCAGTGAATTTGCTTCGCTCGATCACGCATAATCCTGGGAATAAGCACTTCCTTTTCCACTTTCCTCAAAGATGTGTCGTTAGGATCGCCTTGAAAAATATGAATTGCAATATTAAGCTAACAATATTGTTAATGATAACAAATACCTAAGTCATGTGGATTCTTTGGATCAAATGCAATTTCCTCCGTTTGTAGACTCATATTTTTATTTTTGCTTTAAATTTACTCCCAATCTAAATACAAGTTCGCACACATAACAGAAAGGTTTACCAGCTGATGTACATATATTTTTTATACAGTATTGCCAACTCCTATTTTTATTTATTTATTTGAGGAATTTTTGATGTAATTGGTAGATTCAGTATAACTATAGCTTTGTATTTTAACTGCTAGTTATCAGGAAGAAGAAATTAACAGTTACTCTCACAAAGAGCGAAATAACAAAAAACAATCAATCAATAGAATTTTTATTTTCACAATTCAAAACAATAAAAATAAACAAAATTAAAACAAATGCGTCAAATATCGCTTGTATGAACATCTGCTTTAATAGCTGTTTCTTCATATGGCATTAGATATTTTCTGCTATATAAGCCTTGGAAGCATGTCTTCTGTTTCTTTATTTGGTTCCAGATAAATTCGAGCGGTTGTTGTTGTTGTTGTAACGGTTACCTAGTCCCCGTTTGGGTGATAAATTCCACATTCGTTGTCGTCGAGGTCATCTAACGTGAGGCCCAGGAAACGAGCTGTTTCGACGGGGTCGGACCATAGGGAGAAGGGTGTTAGATGAGTAGGGTTTGTCAAATATACCATTCCTGTTCATTATAACGGTAAATTAGCATTCAAGATAAAATAATTAACTCTATTTTATGTTCATCCTCTAGGGTCAAGGATTTAGATTTATATATAAGTATGTATATAATATCTAAATTGACATTGGTTAAACAAAACATACAGTAGCTAAAATTATATATACAATGCTAAATATTATTATTGTAAAACTCTCCATAAAGCTCGCCAACTGCATCCATTCATAAGGTGTTTCGTCGGCAGATATCAAATTACTAAACTCCTGAAGTGTCACATCTTCAAATTGAGCGTTCACATCGCAGGTTTCAGGCTGAGCAAGTCGCATTTTCCTCTTCGGTGTGATATAAGAAACAAATGAGTGCCGGAGCAAGTTCGATATAGCGGGGTGAAGTTTACCGCGATAGGAAGCATGTGTGGCGAATATTGAAAATACGGTAAGTAGCTGTTGGAATGTTACCAATATGAAGCTGCAACTGAAAAATTTCACTGCAAATAAACAGAATCATTAACCGTTTATAATTTTTAATTGACTGATTTTCACCACACCAACTCACCAATGTAAGGTGTAATACGCGCGAATTTACCCACATTTTGAGCAAAATATAGCAAAACGAACGTTATAATAATCAAATTTAAACCATTAAGACATATTTTCGTACGATGATCTGTCTCAATACATAGTGTAAGCATTGACAGTAAAATTACCGACGAACCTAGCGCCCGAAATACGGTAACAAAGGCAGAACGTCGCTCAAAACTTAGATGATACTCCATAACTATATATGGCTCGGCACAACAGGAGTAGATAGTCGCTACACGTTCCACACTGAAATCAATCACTTTATATTTCATACTCGCCATATCCATTTCCTCAAAACTCATGCTGTCATTGGGGTTTGTATAATTCTTAAAGTCCAATTCGAAACCATCATAAGTCCACGAACCGAGATTTAGTTTACACTCATGTTTATCATGTGGCCAATTATTCATGTTCGTGGTGCAAAAAACATTCATATCAACGTTATCGCTCCAGAGTACCATGCCAGTGTGTTGCAATATGACGGTGCCGTGATGGTGCATTCGTAGAAACTTATCGGGCGCATTGTTGTAAACCTAATAATTTTTCGCAAATATATACATATTTACAGATGTTTGAAATATTTGAATATGAATGTACATATGAAATATGAAATATTTGAATATATAATATGTACATAAAAAATTATACAAGTATGTTTGTATATATGGACCACTTATTTGCAGCGGCACTTGTGATAACTAAAAAAGTTTTCTCTACTTGAAATTCGGTTTCTCGGCTATGATGGTAATCGCAACAAATAAGTGGTACGGTGTATATAATGTATACCATATGTATGTGTATATGTATATGGTATGTAATTTGTATAAATTATTTTTTTTATAGCAAACAAACCTCTAAGTCTGGCACCCAAATCAATTTTTGACGTACTGGTATGCGAGTTAGATTATTGTAATCGCTGGGGTTCCAACCTAATTTGGGATCTTGCCAAAGCTAAAAATATTAAAATAAATTATACAAACTTAAAAAAAATACAAAGTATATAAAATATATAAATACATATACAATTATTTATAAAAAAAGAGTTGGATCCATCATATAACATACGATGATTATCAAAAATAATAGTGAGTTCGTCAGTATAAGTTTCAAGGATATGGAATTAAATTTGGTAAACATAAGAATTTATATGTAAATCTCCTATACTACCGATTGTCCAGTTCTAGTCTCTAAAAGATAACTTTATTGAAGTATTTATGTTACATAATAAGAATAAACAGCAAGTTCGGAGAACTAAAAGATATATGTATCTCGCGAACGAGCGTTCTTTTAGTTAGTATGTTTTGGGTTTTTGTGCCTCCAAAATAGAAGTTAACCACGCCCAAAATTGAATTTTCGTAAACCTACAATTTATAATATTTTAAAGGTATTAATGTATATAAGGCTGGTCCAATAAGTACTAAGCCTACAAAAGAAAAATGAAAATTTTAAAATGAAAATAAACTTCGCTCAGCGAGCCTCCAACTTCTTAACTCGTCTGAAAATACTTTTTTTTTGGAGGTCTGCAAAGTAGGCTTTCGTGGTGGCGGCTCGATGAGTGAGAATACGATGGATAGGGCAGCCGTTCGTTGGCCTGTGTATTGTAAAAGTAGAAGAGCACCTCAGACATTGAAATCGAACGTGCAAGTGATATAAATATTAGCAATTAAAAGTAGACGAGCCAACGGTTAGACCGCTTTATTACTAAAGCTATTTTTACGACTTTGAGAAGAATAGCATTATTGTTCAGTATTACGGAAGTCCAGTTCCCAAATCCATTCTGATAAGTTAAAAAAAGTTCTAAGACAATTTTTACATTTTGACCTTGCAGCATTTCCAAAAGGATGTTATAAAAGATAATATATAATATTCGTTTCATACCTGCATATATGTAAGTATATAGCTTGATATTATTTCTATTACACTCTTACCACATTCAAAAGTCCCACAAAATGGACTGATCCATCTGACTCTCGAAAGTCAAAATGCTGCAACACTAAGTTTGTATGCACATCAATGCGTTTACCCTCCCCGGTGGGTTTAATGAGTGCATTGTAATTAACGAATAAGTCCGTGATGAGCGACTGACGTGCCACCGATGCTGAGTAAACTGACATGGCAGACAAGATTTTCATTAACAAATTCACCAAAAGTAAATATATTGCATGTACATATATTTTTTTTTCAATAGCGATATTTTTAATAATTTACTAACATTTTGACTCCGTCTTGATTACTACTGAGGATATAAATAAGTAAAAGCTGCTTAACGCAGACCAAGATGCAAATTTTAGACTATTCATTGTGCCGCTGAGACGCCACAATTGGGAAAGTCACTCACTCGTCTGCACTTCACGATCAACTGATCATCCAGGTCAGCAGTCGGGCTTGTGCTCATCTTTTAGTTGTACGCTTAAAGCGCTGGTTAATTTGTTTGTGATTTAATTTACTCAAGTAAAGTTAAATTGATGCTAAATTTAAAACGAGATGGAACGACGAAGAACTATAGTCTCTTAATAGCTTGAAGTTCATATGTCCGTGTGTGTTATATAGCCAGCTTAAGTTGTTGTACTCTCGCAACCTGTTGCTACAGAGTATAATAGTTTTGTTCACCTAACGGTTGTTTGTATCACTTAAAACTAATCGAGTTAGACATAGGGTTATATATATATAAATGATCAGGATGAAGGAACGAGTTGAAATCCGGGTGATTGTCTGTCCGTCTGTCCGTCCGTGCAAGCTGTAACTTCAGTAAAAATTGAGATATCTTTATGAAACTTGGTAGACATGTTTCTTGGTACCGTGAGACGGTTGGTATTGCAGATGGGCGTAATCGGACCACTGCCACGCCCACAAAACGCCATTAATCAAAAACAAATAAATTGCCATAACTAAGCTCCGCAATAAGATACAAGACTGTTATTTGGTACACAGGATCACATTAGGGAGGGGCATATGCAGTTAGAATTTTTTTTTTTTAAAGTGGGCGTGGTCCCGCATCTAATAGGTTTAATGTGCATATCTCCTAAACCGCTAATGCTATAATAACAAAATTCACTGGCAGCAAATGTTTTTAGCACTTCTATTGACGGTGTGAAAATAGTTGAAATAGGGTGGCAACTCCGCCCACTCCCCATATAACGGTACTGTTAAAAACTACTAAAAGCGCGATAAATCAAGCACTAAACACGCCAGAGACATTAAATTTTATTTCTGGGATGGTATGAGATGACATTATAGGAACCGCGTTCAAAATTAGACAGTGGGCGTGGCACAGCCCACTTTTAGGTGAATACCCATATCTTGGGATCTGCTTAACCGATTTCAACCAAATTGTTATATGTGTATAACGTTATTTTTATATTTCTATGTCATAGTGTGAAAATGGGCGAAATCGGACTACAACCACGCCTATTTCCCATAGATCTGTTCCATCTGATTCTTTCACTTTCCACCATGCATATCAAGCAACAATGATAATATCGGGGTAAAACTTTGCGTGAATAATACGTTTAAAGTATGCCACCTTGTGACCAAAAATTGTCTAAATCGAGCCAAAACTGTTCAAGCCCCTAAGTACTAAATATGTGGACCCCAGTGCCTATAGTTGACCTTCTACCGAAAATATCAGTCAATCCACAAAGAAATCTCAAACGAGTATACCATTTGACTTTGCGAGAGTATAAAATGTTCGGTTACATCCGAACTTAGCCCTTCCTTACTTGTTTTTATATTACTTTAATAAAAATAATAATATTAATATAAGGTTTAGTAGAATTTTTTACTTTAAGACTAGAAGTGTTCGAAATATGTTCTTAACCATAACAAATACGACAAATTTAAAAAAAATGTTGAGAAGTGTAATCTGGTATTATCATTAAATTACATTAAATAATATTGAATCTGAATGTTCTACGTCTATTCAAGCAAAATTTCTTAAGTTCAATGGTCTTGTTATAAAGTGGAAACTCTTACTTTCCCAGCCAGAGAATATTTTCAACAAATTATAGATCATCAAATCACTACCTACAATTTTGAGAACCA